CTGTAAAGATTTCTCTTCTGCTACGGTCAAGAAGTGGATGGGTATTTTTTTTGGGTGCAAAGATTAGTATTCATTTGAAGAAATGGCATATTGGGCTAGACCCTACCCAAGTAGAGTTGGGCTGAATAAAGAAGTAGTTTCAATCACATAGAATCTGAATCTTTACAAAACAAATCATAAAATGTGAATGAAAGAGTCAGTTGATGAGCCATTTTGTTAAGAAAAAATTAATAAATTTCATTAAATTTACTTAATTACTTAAAAAATGAGGTTTAAATTATTAAATTATTTTTATTTTTGTTTTCTTAACCAGCATGCCAAGAATACCGGTTAGCAGTTGACTAAAAGAAAATAAGTTAACAAAGAGGAAATATAAAACAAAAATGTGGTGAGGGGAGATTAATGGCTGTTTGGATAGGTGAAAATAAATGAAATGAAAATTTAAAAACCTTTCATTATAATAAGAATGGTCAAATAATCACCGGGAAGCTCCTGATTATTATTATTTTATTGGACTATGGGTCTCTAGGGCCACCCAGCAGGCTAGTCAAATCTAAGGTTAGGCCCAAATATGAGGACTTGAGAGGAAAATTAGGGGAAAATAACAGTGGCCCAACTACATAAAAATCATTTTGACAAAAGAAAAAAGAGCTACATAAAAATTCTAACGAAGGATAATAAATTGAATCCATAATAAAGCATTTGAGGTTTAAAGGCATCATGATAATGTGATCATGAATCAAATTATTGCAAAGCATTCATTCTACGATTAATAATAGTCATGCATCCGTTCAAATAACTCAGTCAATTAACATTTTGATCGTTAATCTCTGAAAGGCACCATGATAATTTATGTTTTTCCACGAACTTTCATTTCAAAGTATGCAAGCCTTTAGGTCCTAGTGTTGGAATGTTCGTAACAGCGCTACAAGCCAACAATGAAGAAAATAGTTCCAAAATTCGAGAATTTAATAAAAAATAATAATCAATTATTTCACGCCAAGTAAGTACTGGGGCAAATTACAAACTGTAACTCTTCATAAAGCTAGAACTATTTTACAATAACAAAAACGACAACATCATATTCAATAAGCAAACATAATAAAGAAATAAGAAAACAACCCTTTAAATTCATTATAAACATATATATCAAAAGACAAAACATGAATACCCCCGCAAGGGACAAATTTCAACCCCAATGCCTTCCAATTCACTGCATCATAAATGCCACAAGAGAAGCCAGCAAAGAGGAACACAAGGTCACCACAGAAACAGGCAAAGCAAACCCAGCTCCAGTCTCCATTTGTGATGTGGGTGCGATCTCTGAGTCCTGTGCCACAGTGTTGGTCACGCAAAACAAGCCCAAAACCATAATTACAATAAAAAAGTGAGTTGCATAGCCACCAAATGTTGCCATATTATGTTACTATAAAAACTTGGCCAAAGATATCAATGGAAGTATTGGAATGGTTGGGAATTGAATTGTTCAATGACACAGTCAAGAGTTGAGTTTATATAGAACTTGGTAGGGGTCTATGTTATAAGGACATCCTTATCAAGTTGGTAAGTAGTACATTAAACATTAACCATTCTTAATGTTACTATGCCTTTTGGATTAAGGCTTTTGAGACCCCACAAGACCAATTAAAGCTAGTCGATGCAAGGTAGCATTGTGTCCTCAATGAGCTTCTTACGTTTTAGTTAAAGGAAAATTCTTGTACCTACTACTTATGATACATGACTTTGATTGGGTATGGTAAGCCATGATACAAAAGAAAGGGAATGAGTATACTAAAATGAGAAAATAAAGATATATCTATTTTTATTTAAATTAAAGTACTTTATAAATTAAATTCATTTTAAATCAGTGATTAACTTGCTTTTATTTTCTTCCTTTATGCATTTGATAAATTTTGAAGAGTTAAATCTAAAATGTTGTCAACTAAGTCTAATACAGTAATAGTTGTATCTCTTAAACATTTTAAAAGAGGTTTGATGTCTAAAAAGGAATAGTCTCTAATTGGATATGCATTCTCTGCAACGAGTTTTTGCCTGCACTAAGTCCAGTTTCAATCATAACCATTCACTATCATATTTATTATTTTTTAAATAATTTTTTTAAACTCAATGGTTGAGTCACTGCAGAGAATCAGTTTCCTCTCTATATGTTAGAATACTCTTAAGGCATGTTTGTTTATCCGTTGTCATAACCAATTAAAAGTCATATCACATATATTACGATACACATAAAACGATAATATATTTTTTAAGCTTTCTAGGAAATCGATTTTGGCTTGTTAACAAACATGCCCTTAATATACACAAAAAAAATACCAAATGTAAAAGGCATTATTACTTGGCAGGCTATCTTTTCAAAATTGATTGAGGGTGGTGAGACATCACTTTCGGGCCAGCTGAGGTGCCTTTGACATAGCAACGGTGCCGAGACTTTTAGAGAGGACAAGTCTACAATGGTGCAAATATGATGTCTTTGTTGCTTCCTAGAGAGAATAATTTAGAATTGTAGCTTCATTTGGCAACTGAGGAGGATAGAATAGAATGATGGAAACTATCATACCCAACAAGATTATTTTTATTGACTCTTAAGTACTAGACATGTATCTATTTTAGAGACGAAACAAGAAATACAAAAAAGACAAGAATTGAATATAGATCGTTTTGAACGATATATGTCAGGATCGATGATAAATCCAGTATATAGATGTAGTCTGGTGAGTGACAAGTAAATTTAACTGCTTATATTGAATGCATTTTGTTTCGCAAATTGATTAACCAAATAGAGTACGTAATCTAACAGAGACATTATTTTGACGTTGAAGTCTGGGTGTGTTTCTTTTCCCCTTCACTCTTGCAACGAAGACTACAATCTTTGTCCAAAGCATTTGCATTATGCATTTTTCTAAACAATTTTTCTAATGGCTCCTTAGTTGCAAAACAAAAAATTAATAGACAATATTTTTTTATTAAAAAATGTAACATATAATATTGTCAATACATTATATAAATATTGATATCGTTTAATAACTTTTTTTAAAAAAATATGATAATGACAAAATTATAGGTTAGTTTAAAGATGTTATTAAATAGATCATTTATAAAATTTTATATAAAATTAAAATCATTAACTGTTTCATCGCACTCTAAAAATATACGTAAATATTAAATTTAATATTCATTAAAAAGCGTAGGAACAGAAATTGAATTAATATCCGTCACTACTTTTATATCACTTTTAAAACTTACGCCATACAAGAGAAAAAAAATACAATTATGCAGTCACTTAGTTTGGTGATAAATGAACGTATAATTGAAGTTCAAATCATGAATATTATTATTATTATTATTATTATTAAAAGAGTTTTTTCCGATCGTGTTTCGAAGGTTAGTCTCACACCTTATATAATGATAATATTTACTTAATACGAGGTAATCAATAACAATTATCAAATGGTTATCTTCAATATATCATTCGTTACTCTATTTAATGTCAATAGTCTTGATCAATTCAATTTTAGCTTTAACCAACCACTATAAATTGTCTTTTATTATTATTATTATTAGAACTAGACGTTTGTACTCATTTTTTTCTAATAACTAAAAAGGTATAGGAATAAGATTGAGAAGAAAAAATGAACATATTTACCAACAGCTATTATATGTTCAGAAGCAAACCCCTGATAAACTCATGAGAGAAAAAAAAAATAGTGAAAAATCTGAATTTGTGTGGCATTTGACTCGTTCTAGGGTAATAACAACTTGTCTAAGCATGGCTAGTGGTTACTGTGCCAAATATATTAGCGTAACAACCCATGCACGATGTATATGGCACAACCTATGAAGCAAACCCTGAAACCATGCAAAACCATACACTTAAGACCGTTTCACAAGCCAAAAAAAGTGGCGTTTCACCAAAATAAGTGAAATTCTCATCATTTAAAAGGCATGCAAAAGCCCCCAAAGTACCTCAGACCTGCAAGCAAATAAAGAGAATAATAAAACTAAACACACAGTTGTTTGATCAAGCACACCAGCGGGTCTCCAAAATAACTCACATTTCATTCATCATGGACATGAAGAAGGTCACTTGCGCCGTCCTCATCGCCGCCGCCTCCATGAGTGCCGTGGTGGCCACCACCGAGGTTCCTGCTCCGGCCCCCGGCCCAAGCAGTGGAGCCTCAGCTGCATTGCCCCTTGTTGGCTCTTTGGTTGGTGCCTCCGTCTTGTCTTTCTTTGCCTTGTTCAACTAAGTTGGCATGGCAAAAAGACTTAAGGATAAAGACATTATATTATATGTATGGGCAAAAAATAATAAATGATGCCAATTGATATAGAAGTGTATGCATTATGCATTGTTATGATGATCGTGGAATGAAATATTTTGATAATTTTAATTTATCTTCTTTTCTTGTTTTCCATTGTTTTACTTTCTCATTCATGTTACGTACGTAAAAACCAGCTCAGCAGTTTCCGGTCAAATGGAACTATCAATCATCATTAAATAAAGGAATCTTCACCCTAAAATATAACTTCTGATTCATAATTTTCCAATCGCTGCTAAAATAATCTTTTAGAAATTAAAACAAATTTAGAAAAGGGTCGTCTTTCGGTGTTATTAATGGAATAATTATAGTTACCTGGATGTTTTCTCTCTGTGAAACAGTATTTTGTTAATGAATGCTCTTTCATATCAAAAGGAGCGAAATGCATGCTCATTTTTTCCATCAAAATAGTATCAGATCATTGAAACTAATTCCATGTTAATAGATTCACAGTAATAATATGCATAATATAACCTTGCTTTTCTACACACTGCGATAATGCGATGGTTTTAGTACATGTTACAACGTAATTAGTAGTTAGCATAGATAATTAAAATGATAATGCAAAATCTGTCTGTAATTAGTTACTTTTTTGAAAGGGAAAAAAATTAGAAAAATAGGGTATGATTGCATCATACCAGTTAAATAACATTAACCAAAAATTAAGCTTAATATGGTCATATCAAGTATACCAAATAAATAAACCATCGAGCTTCAAGTCCATGGTATTTTTTAGCTCCGAAAAGTGAAAGTGACAAACTTTACATAATCAAGGGCCTGTAGACTGATTCAAACAAACTCAAATAAATAAACAACCTAACAAAAATAATTTAATTCATTTACTTTAACCATTTACCACAACCCGGAAAGAATTTGGCATGCTATTTTCCAGTCTCCAATCTTCAACCAAGCAACAATCTCGAAAGGAAAAGACTCGTGACATTTGACATACACATTTCTTACAACAATGTATAATTTTATGACCAGAAACTCTAATAACTAGGTTTCATGATTAAACTTTTGGGAAGACATGAGGCTCTTTGCCAGCCATATTGCTGTTTCTCTGGATGAGACAGCTTCTTTTCCGAAGGGTCTTAGCACCCCAGCAAGCTCTTCAAGTTTATCTTGCTTAAGTAGCTGAGCACATAGCTCAAGCAGAGCTTCAAGAGCATCAGCTCTTTGCTGGCAGGGACTATCCAACACCGTCTTGATTGTTTCATCGTCACCTTCTTCAGTTATTACACTCAATGAAATGCCACTTGGCGTATGATCAACCTCCACTGCATTATCATCTTCTTTATGTGTGGAACAACGAATGAGTTTCTTTGCTTTGTCATCCTCCTTAACAGGAAGTGTATTATTACCATCAGATGTCAAGCAGTTCATATGAGAGTCTTCGGTAGATGCATCAGGGTTTTCACTTTTGTTTGAGCAGTTTCCAGATTCAGTATTGTGTTCAACTGTAATCAGATTCTCGTTTAATGGTGACCTTTCCTCATTAATGGATTTATCTTTATCAGTGATACTGCTTCCTGCACTCGAAGATGTTGATTTCTGGGAGTCCTCAAGATTGGCAGCTTCCCTCTTTGCCTCATCATTGTCAAAACCTTCAATGCAAAAAGCATCTTCAATTTCTGCAGTCAAGGCATTTATGTCATACCCTTCTAATTTCTGAAAATGTTTAGCAGCAAATCCTTGTTCGTCGTGCACAGAATCATGTGTACTCTTTGAAGCGATCTCACTGCTGGCTGTTTCCCTTGAAGGTCTGCTTTTAAAGTCGTCCTTGCACACACTGAAAATCGTGGATTCAGATGTGGTTGACCCATCTTTTGAGCCACTGATACTAGTAGAAGATTCCACTATGTAGCTGGTAAGATCAACCATCTTGGTCTCAAGGCTGTCTTCTGCACTAGATGAGATTGTTGCGGCATCATTAGGAAGATTGCTTATCTGTACATCTCCATTTCCCTCAACTGGGTGAACCCGTTCCAAATTATTTACTAATCCTGCTTCTTTGTCCTTATGGTCCTTGCCACCACTATATTTATAAGATTTTCTTGCTTTATCCTTTGAATTAACAATGGGATATACTGGAAGAAAATTAGATGATGCATTATGACAGCGAAGAACATAAGGTTGTAGAAGTGGATGTCTTAGCAATTCAGCTGCCTGTCAACGAAGAAAAGCAGAATTAGAGTCAACAATTCCACCCAAATTAATCACACAAGATAGGCTCAGTTGAACTCACTGTTGGCCTATGTTCTGGGTTTTTCCTAAGCATGCTCCTGATTAGTTGTTTCCTGTTACACATATGACATCTTTCAGTTCTATGATTATAAAGAATATAAAACAGAGAAAGCGGGGGGAGGGGGGATTTATGCAATTATGGGTGTAAAATTTGCAGGGGATTTTGCTTGGCTTATATATTTTGTATTCACTTTGAGGAAAAATACTTGAATCATTGACCAAAAGCACAGGTTAAAAAATATCATGACAGCAGTGTGACTGGGAATGTTTTGAAGAATACTTACAGTGTGGAAGAATAAACAATTGGCAGTGGAGAAATGGAAGATCTGTTTATTTTATTGATAAGTCCAGCCATGTCCTGTTTTATTCATTCACTAATTTGTTAAATTATTTTTCTTGTTTAAAATATATTGAAGAATAGAGACTTTGTTTCCATCAACAAAACAAAATTCCAACAGATGGTTCAAGTTCTTACCGGAGCACGAAATGCTGGTTGATGTGCAGTAATCTCAAACATGCAGCAACCTTTACATTTAAAGAGATATCATTCTTACACAAGGTTAGATATCATATAGCTTTGTCAGTTAGAATAAGGCATCCATGAACCTTACCAAGAGACCACATATCAGATTTATAACCATAAGGTATGTCAGCAAGGAGCTCAGGACACATGTAATTTGGAGTTCCAACAACCTACACAAGATATAAGAAGTGAATGATAAACTGGTATCACTATGTGAATCTAGTTAAGTATTAATAACATTAGCAATAGAAAGTTAAAAGCAAGAAAAATATAGGATTACAGGCAAAAATATCTATTGCCAACTGAGAAGCATCAATTATTTGGCCTGATAGTCCCATTACCAGGGGATAAAATAAAATACAAGTAACATAATACACTTATATACAATACCGAGGAAGCAAGGTCTTCTGCATTAAGTTGCTTTGCAAGACCAAAGTCACCTGTACAGTTCATGCAATAAATATATTTCTTCAGATAACATAGTTTATGAAAGACAAAAGTTCTGAGCTTTCAAGGAATAATTCTACATACCAAGCCGAATGTTGTTATCTTTGGTGAGGAATATGTTGGAACACTGGAATTACATGAAGTTGCATTAATGTAAACATCACGTAAAGGATTTCTTGTTAAGGATAAAGGAATATGTAATACCTTAAGATCTCTGTGGATTACACGATTAGAGTGTAAATAGTCCACAGCTATTAACAATTGAGTCAGCCATTTGCAGACCTTCTGTAAGAGAAATTTGCAATCCAGAGTGGGTAATGAATACTCATAATCATAAGGAAATATTAAGGAAAGGTTAACCTTATTAATTACCTCCTCAGGAAAAAATGATCCTCGAGCTTTCTTTATGTATTCAGCCCTGCTCCGCAATGAATGAAGAGTTCCATGAATAGGACTTCATGTCACTATTTATATTTATCCTATATAGCATATAAATGCATGCATATAGACTATCTTGTATAAAATACGAGATTCACAAAATTCCAATTATTGTATCTAGGTGTATTTCATCTCTAAATTAGAATGTGATTAAGAATACCATGTCATGAAATGAACACAGTAGTGAAAAATCAACATCAACCCACAAGGACATCTTCCAGATCTCCATAACGTGTTAATTACAAAACATGTTTATGCCAGCGATTCTAAAGAAAAGGTTTTCAGGCCCTCAATAACACCCTAATCTTATATGCATTGGACCAGTTTAACATGGCATCAAAATCAGATTGACTAGTTTAAAATTCAATATGAGACATCCTCAGTCATATAATTAAAAATCAGTATAACACTTCTATTATCCCATAGAAAAAATTCAGCATAAAGTTCTATGTAGTTTCAGTCCAATCCAAGATAGCATTTTGTATGTCCACATTACAAGTCCAGTAGGCCTTTACCTAAAAGGACATATTAGGAGTTATGAGAACCATTCTTTTATTCCTATTTAATTGCTCCCGCTTTTAGCTTAGCAATTTGAATGTATATTGTTAACAAACCTTTTCATTTTCTCCTGAAATCAAATGAAAAATAATAAACCCAGATCCTTAATTTATGCAAGAATGGGCCAGTGTTATTAACAGATATTACTTTACTTACATGTCACCTCCTTCACAATAGCCAATTATAAGGCATATATGGTCCTCCTACAAAACATGAAATATCAGAAACATCCCTATGAAGTGTGATATACATCAGAATAAGCTGATATATCTATAAATTTTCAAACTTAAATTCTTCATCTCTCTACAAATAATGAGTAAAAATTTTAAATTGAAAATAATAAATTTCCTACCTTCTCCACCCAAGCATCTTTGTACTCCACAATATAGCGGTTATTTAGTTTTGCAATCAAGTTCATCTGTAATAGAAAGCGGAACACGTCACTTTTACATGAGTAAACTTTTAACATCCAAAATCAGCTTCACACAGCCTCTCAGGAGCTAGGAATTAAGCCCACGAAATCATAATTAAGAATAAGTCTCATGTTTATAGAAAGAAAACCAATATTAAGATGACACGGCTCAAAACGAAAATGGCATGTCATACTGTGTTCACAGCATTTGTGAGCATAAAAATATCACAAAACAAATATCCTCTTCTCAGGAAGTTTCATCATAACTTTAGACAACCATAATGTGCAGCATAGAGCATAGCAGATTTCATCAATGAAATTAATTCAGTGCAAGTTTTCATAAGTCATTGTCTGTGTTTTTGCAGTGGGGATTCTACTTCTTGAATTAACTATATATGCACATGCCTGTTTATTCGTAGTTAGAAAGAAGCGTCGTATCATGAGCTGATTCGTTCGTGCAAGCATCATATCATGTATGACTCGAATAATGTTGGAAACGGATAGATTAGTACTCCTTTCTAAATAGAAATGATCAAGAACAACCCCCCCCCCCCAAAAAAAAAAAAAAACACTGTCGAAAATAAGTAGTGAGTAATTTGGTGCAAAAGAATTGCCTGTTCAATTATCTACGAAAATAGAAAAAATATTCAATTAAATAAATAATTGCATGATGAACACTGAGGATTCATCAGGTGGAAAGGTTTGTTACACCAACCTCTTGGTGTGCTGTACGTTTGAACTTCTCTGTCTGCTTGGCCAACCGAATCTTTTTCAGCACATACCTACCGAGGATGAAATCATGATAATGAATAACAATCCAAGTATTGAATTAGTCCGGTTCTCAACTCCAACAATTAAACACAAAAATTCTCAAAATAGAATAAAAGTTAACAAAAAATTAAACTTATTTTGTTGGGTTGTCCATTATTTAACCGAAAAAAAAAAAAATCAGTATCCAATGGTCCATGTTCCACAGTTTAGCAGTTTATAGAACAGCTACAGAAAAATAATGGAAGTTGGAACACTAAGTGTCATCAAACGTTATTGGCTTCAACCCCAACAATTAAACACAAAAATCTAAAAAAGATTGAATTTTTCTTCATGGGGTGGTCCATGTTCTAACCAAAAACCAATAAAAAGGATCATCAACTGTTTATGTTGCATGGTTTACAGTGTGATTGAGTTACCTCTTTTTCTCAGACTTGTGAAGAACGAGGAAGGCAGAGCCAAATGCTCCTCTTCCAATTTGCTCTATCACTTCATAGTCTTCCATCTTTTTGGACCTTGTGTCACTGTTATCTGTCTCCATGGAAAATTCCAGAAGCTAGAAGACAAACAGTGAAGAAATGAAGCAGCAGATCCTGATTTGCTACAAACCCAATTCAGGAAAGGGAAAAAAGAGAGATTTTTTTTATGGCAAAGTATGTGTGAGTGTGAATTCTGCTACCAACCCTTTCTACCCTTTTTTCATCCAAATGCTGTAATTGAAGAGTACCGCTAGGTTGAAAGAGAAGAGCATTAATTGGGCAAAGTAAATGTATCCTATGAGAATGAGAATGAAGTTTGGAGACTATTCAATAGGTTGCAGCAACCATGAAGGGCCTTCACATGAAAGATGAGTAAAGCTACATTCCACAATTATGACACAAAACTACCTCTTCAGAAAACTGAATTGGAGAGAGAGAGAGAGAGAGAGAGAAGGGTAGACTCAGGTAAAGCAGAATAGAATAGAATATATGACCACCAAGAAAATTGAGAGGTTGATGACTTACCCAAAAGAAAGTGTAGAAAGAGAAAGAGAGAAGGGCAACAAGGTCAAGTAAAGGCTATACACTAAAGACATGGTGTCACATTTATAAATACTTTATATTGATATAAGTATAGTGGGAGTGTATCATAGCTACCACCCCACCCTCCAATAACACAAAAGAAAATGGGGCAGGGAGAAAGGGCATGGAGTACACAAGTTAAAGTTGACAGGTATGGAAAACTAAAGAAAAAGGAAAAGTCTTGCTTGTGTTTGCAGATTCATCAGAGATCATTCAAAACAAGGAATGTTCCAAGCACGCAGTTCTGATGTCATAGTCCGTGCACCTTAATAAACAAAATCATCAAAATTTAGACTTGATTGAGCCAATTGGTATATACCGTTATTTTAAAAACTAGACCGGAATACCCAGTTCAACTGATTGAATCGAGAATTAATAAGTGGTTCAATCGGTTAATTTTGAAATTTTGATTGCTTTATAAATCAGCTAAAAATTAGTAGAATTAGTTCATAATCGATGGAAAATCAATAAAAATTGATTTAAATCTATCAAGTTTAAACCTTTTTTAAAAAAATTAAAAATTTTATTTAAAACATTCTTTATAACTGAATAAAAATTCAATGACAAATTATAAAAACTCATACATACAATTTTTTATCATTTATCTTTTTAATATTATTTTTTTCTTACATAAAACATATTTATGATTAATTTGATTACAGTTAAAGTTTGAATCAATAATTTTACCGGTTGAATTCTTAAAAAGTTAGTATATTCTCTTTGAAACATAAAGTTGTGTGGGTTTGTAGTGCGCTGGCCAACCACCGCAGCTGGTCCAGCGGCATGATTATGGTTTAATTTAACATCTCCAACATTGTTTAGGCGAAGAATTTTTTTGTCATTTTTCTAATGTTTGATGTAATGATGTGACCAATTTTGAACTAAATGTAATGGTGGATGATAAACATGTCAAATAATGCTGATATGATAGGCCAGCAACAATATTTGGTGATTATGTTACATATTTGCACGAATTAGGTGTTAATCGGGTTTATTTAGCTGCAAGAAACGTAATAATCATTTCTAAGCATGTAAGCATGGGCTCATTAAGTAAAATTTCCTGTTAATTTGGTGACCATGATGTCATATCAAAAACCTAATCAGTTTGTTTAACCAACCCGTAAAAGAACGACATGTAATGTCCATACAGTAGACCGTAGAGTAGAAGGCCTGCCACGTTAGAGGTTTTACAACAGTATCTCGTCACAATAAATTAAATAATAACAGCCATATGATATAAATTAAAAAATATGTATTAATATAAAAAAATATTTAACAGTATTTTAATAATTAAATAATTATAGACATAAAAGTCAAGAAAAATTAGAATTTTTCATAGAAATAAGATCAAAAGAAAAGAAAAACATTTATTACCCAAATGGAGTTTATCAAATCTTTAAGGTCCTAAACTTTGGAGCTGACGCATGGACAAGTAATACTGTTGACCTGCATTGCATATGGCATTTAAGAAATAAAGAAAAAAATTAGTAAAGAGAACAAAGGGATGCTTCCAATTATTGGCCTTTTCTTCCTTTCCAAGCTAAATACTCACTTTCATGAAAGCACGCCATAAGTTACAACTTGTTCTAGTTGTCGGAGAGACCGTAAGAAGTTAACAAGGTTGCTAGGAGAGACTTGAGTTATTCATGAGACAAGTTACTTATGAAGTATTTATCTCGACTCAAACCGCTATTCATGTGTTGTTCCAACAGTTACAATACCCACTGTCCCCGCAATAGCAACCATGTACTGTCGGTGATAATCATTCCCTTGTCTTTGCTTTTTTATAACCGATGAGGAAATCCAAAATTCCATTCAAAAACCTCAAAACTTTTGATTTGATGGCCAAGATACTTGCGACAAAACGGGGATTGGTGATTTGAAAACAACAGTGTGCTACAAACCTAGGCGTAGACAGTGACAAAGACAGGACATACTACATCATGTTTGACTTTTCTCGTTTAGAACAGTCTGTGCTCTACAGTTTAAGACTGACTATCAAGGACAATTATTTTGCTTAGATGAAATTATTTTTGCATATAAGTATACATATGATACGGAGCAACGACCTGCACGGGGTTTATTTTCAAACGAATGTCTTTACCAGTTATCATAGAACTTAATCTTCCACTTTGTAAATGAGTTTATAAAGAGCTTGCAATATGTTCCTGCATTTGATTACATCACACAAATGGCTATGTTTGCAATTAATAACCAGTTGAAAAAGGCAGCGGGATCATTCTTGCAGAGCTTCACTTACACACAAGTTGTATTAATCCTTAATGTAATCTAGAATAATACATTATGGTCTTAACCCACTGAAACTCAAATGAATTCACCATTTTTTGCATCCTTCACTTTAACAATTCGCACATCAATATATGGGATGATCCCAACTTCGGAAGGGCCATAAACCAGTTTTTGCCAGCAGTTGTTTTCAAGCCTAAATTTCCTGAGCCCAATGAAGACAGCAAATTCACAGATCTTTCGTTTAAATTTGATCGCGAGCATAGCAACATTGGCACTGAATCATCATAAACAACGATAAACATGCATATAAGAAATTGATCGCAGGATACCAATCCCTGCCACAACTCAAAGTAAAATGGTTCCGTTTCAGATTTGAAGATGACCAGTGACCAGTCACATTAACTTACAAATTGAAAACAACACCCTGGTAGCTCCACAGAATATACTAACATTGGAAAACTATGAAACACAAGGCTGATGTGCAACAGAAAGAAATTAACTGTACATTTAATTGTATTCTTTCTACTTCCGCTTTGTTTGCTTTGATTTTTTAGAGGATCTACCACTCTCCAGCTTTCTCCGTGCAGCTTGAAACTCCTCTTCAGAGGGTTCTGGCATATCACCACCCCCATATTTGGAAACAAGAGATGAGAACATTGAATCAAACTGGCCTTTCCTATCATTTCGGCGTTGTGCTATGATTGCGTACAGATCTGTTTCTGACTGCTTATTTGATCTGCAGAAAACAATAGATCATTCCTAAATTACAGCAAAAATAGCATAAGCAAATCCCTGTTTCATCAACTTACTTTGCCCTCCTCCTCAAAGGACTTGTCGGTGGTTTGGTTTCAGATACTTCCTTAGCCCATTTCTGATAGGCTTTTGTTTCCTTTAGTTCTCCTACAGAATATGAAGAGAAATAGAAATCATCAACGAAGATGTTTAACAACTCAAGAAAATGTCTAGTAAAATATAATGGACTCTTCCATAACTGCTTATAATAATATGTTGATTTATAGTGCTGAACCCTAAAAGTAGAATAAGTTGACAGTCTCCTGTTCTCTTACTGACTTGCATTCCTAGCCTGACAATTGAAACTCAATAGAATATTTCCTGCAGGGAAATTTAGATCTAGAGCATATGTCTGCTGAAACCTTGATCAACAAAATCTAGTTAATATTCTTACCGGCAGCTACAGCATCGTCAAGAATATCCTTGAATCGGTGTGAGTCAAGTTTAGGATCTGAACAAAGCATCGAACAAAAAAGCCTGCAAAGGGAAGTTAATCCAGATGTCAAACAAGCCTTTTCAAATAAGCTCATGCATATTACAAATTCACAATGCTTTCTTACCTGTTCATATTACCCTTGCACTTCTTGTATAGATCAATCAAATCATTTTTCTCTGAATCAGATCCCCTATAGTTTGCTTCAAACTCCTCAATATCAGCTTCAGTGACCTGTGACTCGAGACCACAGAAATGAACATTAATATATGATATGGCAATGCATCATAAAAAAGAATACCAAATATTAAAACAAATACCTTTTTGTACGTTGTTCTGAAGAACACATGAAGATTCTGAACAACATCTCCAGCAAGGTCCTGATTTTCAGAAAATAAGCTAAATGAGTTGTAGATGTCCTGGACATGGCTAAAGTATCTTGAATGCTACTCTTCCAGCATATCAACATTTTTTAAGTAATTATAAGCATTCAACAGAGAAAATCAAATGCTTCTTAGCTAGTTCCGTAAAGAACAAACTAGCATCACCCAAAAATAATTAAATGAGAATTGTTTCCTCCGATAACAGTTAACGGACCATAAGGATTTCAACTCTGATTTTTTTATCTCTTTTTCTTTTGCATCTCATCACTCATTAGTCATTACATCTTTCACTTTCTCCCTCTTTCATTCTTATATTCTCCTCCTTCAAAGGAGTATAATCCCATCCTGGGGTGTGAAAAATCATTTTCATAAGGACTTACGTTATATCCAGGCACTACCAAAGATTATAATCTCTTGTTACTACCAAATGTGAATCAAGTGTATTATGCTTCATTAATTCATCAGCAACAGCAAACAAAAAACAAATAAAAAAGGCAACACTCACAGCATCATCAACATAACCAGTCTGGTCATACAGGGCCCGTTTCTCTTCATCTCCAAGAATTGAAATCACCTTTTGCAGTTGCTGAAATTTCTGTTTAGCTTCCTGCAACACAACAAGGAATTACAACTCCAAAACTAAAGCTAATGAAAAAGATAATGACATACAAAGCAGCATTGAAAAATCACCTCATCACCAAGGTTCTTATCAGGGTGGAGCCGCAACGCCAACTTGTAGTAGGCCTTTTTTATTTCCTGCTGAGAGGCCGTTCTCTCCACACCAAGAACCTACACAAACTCAACCAATTAATTCTCGCACTTTCTGATAAAATTCTAATACTAAGGTTAATTATAACACATATCTCAATTATGTTCAAAGGTTCAACTTCAAAACAAACTGACCCCTATTAATATATCACAGCAAAATAGCACCTAAATCAATACACACAACAGAAGAGTATAATGTATGCAACAGTCATCAAGTAAAAGAAAAATCTAGAGATTGAGCTTATTCTCACGAAAACCAACTCTTCCGAGTGTAAGCAAAAAATAAACATTCGTGGTCCTTAAATTTCAATGAGCACAGTCTCTGGGAATTCTAAGGGTGAAATGCTTGATCATCAACGCCGTTCCGTTTACGGTTATGTTTTTTATTCAATTTTCGGGAACATGAAAAATAAGGGGGAAATGAAAGAAAATCGTGAATCTACAAGGGTACCTGGTAGAGACTGCTTTGATCATGTTGCGCTTTCATTTCTTCGTCATCAGAAACCCTAGCTTTCTCCTTCTGCGCCATTATCGTTGTGCAGAAAGCAAGTGATTCCAATACTAGTTTGGTGGTTTTGCTTGCGCTTACGCCTTGTGTTTGTGTTTGTTTTGAATCAAATTTTGCCTCTTAAATTGAGTTTAGTTTTGGTAAAAAAATATATTATCAATTAATTAAAATATAAATGAAAATAATTTTAAAATTAATTGTTATCAAAATCAAGATTTTTCATAGGAAGGAGACTCATGATTAATTACAGAGTAACTTAATTAAATTCTTGAATTAAATTAAAAATTTTAAAAGGAAAAAAAGTTGGGGTTGTTCCCGCCATACGATTCGGGCTCTACTCTTTTTCCCGCGGTTATGTTCCGATGCGGACGCCGTAACCGAGATGAAAATTCACGGTCTATTATTTGTAACCAAAAATATGACAAGGCCCAATATACACCAACTATTGGGTAGAGTTAATTTGCTGTGGGCCATAAAACCCAATTATGTTATTCTGTATCCAGTAACCCATCCGAAAGCACACGTTCTCGTAATCACACACTCATCGTTGACAAAAATAAAACGTAATCACACTCAGTCTCATCTTTATTCTATGTTTGAACTTCGACGGCTTTTTTCTTTAAATATTGTAAAATAAAAAACAATTTATCAAAATAGTGTATTTTTTAAACAAATTTCGTGTCTGGGGTTGGGGTGCGCACGTATCGTCAAAACGGCTGGCGAAACTTATTATTTTAATATTATAAAATAAGTTTTGTCAAACGAAGGGCGAAAGTTGAAGGTAATTTCGCCATTCACCCATCGAAACATGAAGAAGTAGAAACATTAGAGAGCGGTTCAGTTTGAACCACTCTCAGAATCCCATCTAAGAGAGCGGTTCATTAGGAACCGCTTTCTAATGTCCCTCTAAGAGAGCGGTTCAAACTGAACCGCTCTCAGAAGTCAATCTTGGAGAGCGGTTAAAAAAGAACCGCTCTCAAAAGTTCTCATAAGAGAGCGGTTCAAGAATAACCGCTCTCAGAAGTGGTAATTAAAGTCATTCCCAAGTTCCTCTTTCGCCATTTTTCCTGCGAAAACGTTTTTAACGCTTTGGCTAAACCTAGTATTATTTATTCCCACCCCTGCCCCCTCTCATCCGAGGCTCATTTTGCAATCGAAAAACAGGAAGGAAGAAGGAGAAAGGTTAGTTTTATTTATTCAATTTTGGTATTATTTATATTTTTATATTATATTTAAAATTAAATATTAAATAAAGTTTATTTGTAAAAATGCAGGATGAGTAGAATTGTTATTATTATATATTGGAATGGTAGAATATATGAAGCAACTGTGATTCATGGACTTCTGAGAGCGGTTCTTTTGGAACCGCTCTCTTTCATGGTCTTCTGAGAGCGGTTCATTAGGAACCGCTCTCTAATGCTCCTGAGTTGTTCATCTTTCGTCCCTCGTTTGGCGAAACTTGTTTTACAATATTTAAATAATAAGTTTCGCTAGCCGTTTTGGCGATACATGTGCACCCCAACCCCAGACACGGAATTTGTTTGAAAAATACACTATTTTGATAAATTGTTTTTTATTTTACAATATTTAAATAAAAAAGCCAACTTCGACTAAAACAATTTTTTTATTTTAATTTTATTGATTTAAATCTACATTTTTAATTAATTAAGAATAAAATTTGTAATAAATTTATATTTTTTATTATCATTTAAATCATATAAAATTAGATACAATGAAATAAAATTTGATTATATTACTCTCTTACTTATCTCTGATTTATTATCTTAGCATAAAGTTTTTTTTAGGTATAAGGTGAAAAAAATGAAAACAAACAAAGGAACATGACACTAATGGCATTCCCATAGTGGACTAGACCCATAAGTTGTTTGTCACATTTGTAAATTCAATGGCATCTTAAATCCAATTGTCAAAATGGTTATGAATAATTATTTAAAGTCTACTTTGCACGTGCTATCCTAAAAGCTTTTATCCACATTTAGAACAAAATCATAGTCATATGTGTAATTGTTTCATATGTTTTTGGAAATTAGACACACCCTCAAGTAATAAATGACACCTTCACTGTGAATATTACACCTGGAACACAAGGAATAAAGAGTCATGCCTTAAGGAAATCTCGATTCATTAGTTTCTAGAGTATTATGACACACTGATAATTTAATTATTTTTTAGGTAAGGAAGTTTTCATAGTTAGTTCAAACTATCTTGGATAAGCAAAGTGTAAGTGTATTTGTCAAAAGAGTAATAGAAAATATTTTTAAATTGAATTTTTGAAATATTGTTCTATAAAAATTATTTTTAATTGTCAAAAATTTGGTAATTTAATTCTTTAAACCTAATTAATGCGTAATAAAATAAAATGGTAGTATGCAATAATTAAGTGAAAAAGTAATTAAGAGATTAAGAGAACAACGCAACTTTTAATTAGAAAATTATTTGAAATGTACTTAGGGCTTTTGACTTTACCTTTACATCATTTTATGTTCACTTTTAGTTTAATCTTAATTTTGATTCATTTATAATTATTAACTACTTATATTAATACTATTAATATTCAATGTCATGCAAAGTAAAAGAAAAGAAAAGTATAAAGAGTTTATGAGTTTGTTAATTTAATAACGATTGAAAGAGAAAAAAATTAAACTTAGTCTACTTAATTCTTTATCTCGTTTTATCTTATAGTTCTATTAATTACATGTGATAATATTACCTACAAAGCAATCAATTATAACATGTTAAATAGGATATAAATCAATCAAAAAAGAAAATCACAATTATCATCAAACATAAATATCACATAACACATGTAACATCCTAAAATTAAAAATCCGTACAATGTATATTTTATTCTTAATCATTTGAAATAAAACATCAGATTCTGAATATAATGAACTTATTATAGCAAATTAGTGAAATTTTCCTTTAAAAAGTTTTCATATGTAGATGAAAATTTCAAATTTTACAATGTTAATATAACAATAATAATAAATAATGTAAAAAGTAAATCAATATCATAGCTAAAATTTAATATTCTTCATGGGAAACTTGAATATACATTACATATATCAATATTAAAATTACATCTGTTTGTCAAAATATATGGGACTTAAAACATAAACAACTATAAGTCCCAGAGCAGTCTCAAACTTAATCCCACACTGAAGATCAATCCTATTCATCAACTCGTACCAGCTCTCTATCTCTGCCAAATCCTCCAAATTCAGATAATCATCTGATCTAAGATAACGATCGTCTGAATCAGTTGTGACCTTTGTGCCAGTAAAGCGCTCAAAGGTCTATCTGGACAGTTTTTCGAGGTGATCATGGTCGTGATAGGTGAATAGATAGGTGAGGGCTACTTGAGTTCTAATAATACCTCTATACATATAGATACATAGAGTCTGGTGTATTATATTCCTAAGAAAATCAAACGGAATACTACAAAAGAAATTCATTTCTAACATAACAAAAGTTCTAGGTTTGTCTTCTACAAGAACAGCAAATTTAAAATAACATACTCTTTGACATTAATTAAATATAAAATTAAGCCTATTATGTACTGATCTATCTATTAATCTAACTCTTTCTTAAGGCTCTGTCATCCTATTTTTCTGAAATATTAGTAAGGATGAACATTTATTCTATCTTTATCTAAATATTATATCACAAAATCATCATTTATAATATAAATGCAACATATTCATTTTTACACTAAATTCACATTACAAACATATTCACATATACATTATTCACAATGTATTATCTATTATCCATTCTTTCTCATTCCAATACGTACTCTCAGTGCACTGTGATCATAGATATTGATGCCTCCAGCATTTCTTAAGATCTTACTCAGCTAAGTAAATTGTCGCAGGTTAGCCCATGTACACGGATACAACATGTACAATAATCAGGCCCCTTAGTAAAGGCATAGTTAGGAGTGTAGTTAGGAAACGAGTGTGAGGCCGTGTGACGCATTCGCTCTCAAAAAGAGTGTGTACACACACGCAAATGTCACTCACCACCCTACTTTTCTCCAAGATTTTTATCGTCTCCGAGCTCTATACCCTCAGTATATCTTTGTAACTATTCTCACTAGATTCAATCCATGTCCAACTCTTAAAGTCATTCTCAGAATTATCCTTTTTCTCATTCATAAGATCGTGCTTAGTAAAGTACTTCCAAACTAATTTCATTCCAATCCGTCCTACTCGTACACTTATCGATATAATTACAACTGTTAAATAATTTCAAATCAATATCATTTTAGCATATTATATTGCTCGGATATACTTCATAAAATCTTATAATAACCAGTCAGTAAGTTCAATAACATTTCATACTAAGTACTCATCACATATTGCATGTACCAATCATTAAGTCTAAATAACCAATCAATCCAAATAACCAAACAAACATCTTTTCATTCATTATTCACACAATAAATATCTCAACCACATATTCTCATAAGATGTTCATGTGATGGTGCTTTATGAACACAAAATAAATATTATAATATAACGATAAAATAGAGTCCTTGGAGTCGGAGAAAAACATAGGGAATAAAAACATGAAAAACGATCAGAGAAAATCAAGTTTAATATGAAGAAACTTACTTTGAGTCGTTTATATTCAACATCTAAATTCAGCTTTGAAAAAAAAATAGAGTTTCTGAGGCTTTTATTTAGGAAAAAAGAAAAGAGAGTTTAGAGAAAACTGAGAGAGGGAAATGAATTTTGAATAAAATGAAATTTTCATACTTGCTTGAGCGACGCACATCTTGCTTGAGTGAGATGTGCAGACAATAGTCTTACCCACTATTTTTTAATATGCTCGCTTGAGCGAGCTCCATTTCGCCTAAGTGAGATGACATCTAGAGGCATGACATTTCTCTTGTGAGTGCTTGCCTGAGTGACTCATCTCTCTTGGGCGAGATCACTTTCACCTGGGTGAGGTGACAGTTGGGTTGAATTTATCTTATTTCGCTTGAACGAGATAGCCCTGCAATGTTGCATTTTTGCACGTTCAATCTCATCTGGACAAGATTTATCTTGCTTGAGCGAGATCTCCTGCACCAAAATTTTTCAAAAATCATCTATACTCTCTTCTAAATGCACTATAATACTACTTAATATTAAACAAAACATAAATTACTAAGAAATGAAAAAAATATGTTACAACACGTACAAAGGATTCACCGTAGCCTTAATTATGGATTTAGTTACGCATAATAAAATAAACAATGGAAGCAATTGTAAAGAAATTCATAACCATTCAAAATGAAAATGCAAACTGAATAAATCACAGGGAAAAAGAGTTGAAAATAGTTTTTGTCTCCAATATGTGTTTTCGATCACTTGCTAAGACTTTGAAAAAGATATCATACATTTTCACCAATAATCTCCACTCGCAAGCGACTTTCAAAATCATTACAAGTTGGCTAGGCAAAAATATATAAGTTAAAAGGTCTCTAAAGAGAATATGTGTTGTTAACAGAAAATTATGTTTCTTTAAATATGTGATATCTCTTTATATAGGGTATAGAATTTACAAAATATGGTAGGTTTGGTCACAAGAGATATGATTTATCTTTTCAAAGATACAACATATCAAAAGAGCAAAAAATATTATTTTTTGTTGTCAGATTTAAATTTAAGATATTCAAATTTGAAATTCAAATTTCAAATTTAATCTTGTAGGCCCTTGAAAATGTCTAAGTTAATTGTATTAGAAACATATAAACACTCCTAAATTGACTAACTGATAAATAATGTCATACTTTCTGATATGTATGGTCTTGTTTTTTTTTTTTTATCAAAATTTCTTTAATTGTAATAAAAAATATTTTCTTATTCTACGAATTGTGATAATTTGCATAATTAATAAACAAATAAGTAAAAAATATTCATTAAATAAGGACAAAATAAAAAAAATTAATCTATAAAAATATTGATGGGTGTCATAGATTTTTCAAGACTCCTTTTATTCTCTTCATCAAATTAGGAATAAGGATATCATGTTTTTCCTTTTCAATCTATATTTCCTAAAATATTTAAATGAAATTATTTTAGTGACTATAATATGATTTATAGATCATAGTCTTAACAAAATAAACAAAATATTGGTCATAAACAAAAATTGGAAATTTAATTAAAAATGAATAATTTTTTAATTAACTTTTAATTTTCTACTTCATCTTTAATAATTGATAAATTTTCTATTTTATCTTCTTTAAAGTTTCAATTATAAAAAATGGATTATTTTAAATAACCCAAACTGAATAAATTATCTCAGAGTTACATTTTACTTAACTTGTCTAAATGTAAAAGTCATCACACACAAATGAAGATAACGATAATTAAAATCTATGATCAATTATTAAAATAATCTCTATAATTAATCAAGTTCAAATACACGGTTTTTTAGTAGATGGGGATAACATATTTATCTTATTAATACGAATTCTTATAAAAGGAAAAGAGAAAAATATACTTGTTATTATAGGATTATTATATTATTTTTAGAAATTTTAAAAATTTACTCAGTTAAGAGATTTTAATTACTTTAAGAGGTTATATTTTCAATGTTATATATATCTTTAAAAATATTTATCGCGTTATTTTTTTTTTTCAAATTCTTTTCATTCGATTAAGGATTTATCTTTTGACAAAACAAAAATTCTAATATTTTATACTGAATAAATTTTATTTAAGCTTTTATTGTTTTTAGATCACAACTACATTTTGTTTTTATGTTGTAATCTATAATACATAATAATAACAAAAATAATAAGATTAGTTTTTTCTTTAAAAAAATGTAAATTCTTAATCATAGAAATATTTCACCTTAAAAATATAATAAGTTATTGCTATATTCACGAGAGATACTATATGCTAAATAAATACTCTAAATTTGTTCTTCGAATTAACAAAATTATATCTAAAAAATTTAAACAATTTTTTTTCTAATAAATCCTTTAATAATATACTGCACTATAAAGGGAAAAGGGGATGACTCTCACCCCAAAGGCTATAATATTTATTTTATACTTTTCCTTCTTTAAATTAAAAAAATAAAATTAAAAATATCTATCTTTCATTTAAATTAAGATCTTTAATAAATTTGATTTAAATTAAGAAATGACACTTTCTCAGTTTTTCTTTTATTATTTTACTTTTAGAGGAATTATGAATTTATTAATTAATTTATTTAAATGAATTATAAAAACATGGAAAACACTATTTTATTATTATTTTACACAATTTTTAAAAACTAAAACCAAAATAATATTTTTGTAGTTATTAATAAAAATTTGAAGTGTTATCTCGAATTTATAGGCCTCGAGATATTTTTTTATCATTCCATCACAAAGATATTTCCTGGTCAATAGCCAAAATCCAATCTCTTCAAAAAGAAATTAAAATTAAAAGAAAACTATTTTACAAATAAAAGTGAAAGTTAAGTGAAAATTGAAATTAGGAAGCGATGAAGGGGTATTTTGGTAAATTACTGCACAACCGACTCTGCGAAAAGCGTAAGTTGGCTGATATAAACGTTCAGAGGTAGAGAAAGAAAGAGAGAATTACAGAGTATTTTCCAACAAGATACGACCGAATCAAACCCTCTCTCTCACTCCTCTGCATCCGTAGCTGCGTTTAATATCGTACTCGGCTTCGATTTTCTCGATTATTGTTACTGTTACACACTGTTCTCTCTTCGATTTGAGGTCTCGATTATGTCTTGTCTATCTGTGACTCGGTCTATAATTCTTTGGTTTATTTTATGTTAGTTCTTTATCATCGTCCTCATCTTCTTCTTCTTCTTACAGGGAACAGTACAAGTGTCAGGATCAATAAACCCCACTGCACAGGTGAGTGGTGTCTGTTTTGTGTTTCTGTGTTGTGTATTTCCTTCAATTTCTCCGCTGGGTTATCTTTTGGTGGCTTTTTATTGCTTTATGATTCCTCCCGTTTTTAAAATTAAATAAAAAATTGTTTCTTCCGGGGAAGAGGGGGGGGGGGGTTCTTAATGGGGTTTTGGATACGGTGTGCTATGTGTTGAACTGAAATGAACCAGTGGATGGAGGTGTTGAAAGTTATTACTTATGTCCCTTATGTGATTCGTGTCTGTGGCGATGGTCCACTTGGTTGATCTTTTTTAGACATTGGAAGTGGACCTGTTCTGTCGAAATTTGCTTTGATAATGGGTTTGTGGCTTTGTTTGCATGCTTGAATTATTAGTGAACATAGATTGTGTGTTGGTGCATTGGGTTGAATTGAGTTTTCGTGTGTTTTTTCAGTCCTTGTCCATATCGAGAGTTCTTGGTGTTTTAACTTGTTTATAATGTGACAGAACTGTGTTGGAAGATTAGTCTGAGGGAGAAGGAATGCTGTCAGTTCCTTTGTTTAGTACTTTTAAACATTGATGTCTGTGTCAAGATGTCTAAATGACTTGGTATAAGTAACTCTTGTTGTATCTAGCTGCTTGTAAACTTGCAACGATAATTTGCCTAATTGCTTGCATTCGTTTAGATCATAATTTTGCAAATGCTTGGGTGTATCTTTAATGAGAGGCTGAGTTGCTTTGCTTGCAGGTGGTCACTAAATAATGGAGTCTCACGATGACTGCCAAGCTCCGGAACGTCCCATTCTTTGCATTAACAATTGTGGCTTCTTTGGAAGAGCAGCTACCATGAACATGTGTTCCAAGTGTTACAAGGACATGCTATTGAAGCAGGAGCAGGACAAGCTCGCAGCATCATCAGTTGAAAATATTGTAAATGGCAATTCCACCAGCCATGGTAAGCAGGCTGTGATTGGAGGTGCTGTTGATGCACAAGTTGGAACTGTGGAGATAAAGACTGCCTGTGCTCAGAGTTTTGGGGATTCTTCCTCTGGTGGGAGTTTGGAGATGAAAGTCAAGACTGGTACCAATAGATGCGCCACATGTCAAAAACGTGTTGGATTAACTGGTTTCAACTGCAAATGTGGCAACCTCTTTTGCGCAATGCATCGCTATTCTGATAAACATGATTGCTCCTTTGATTATAGGAGTGTTGGTCAGGATGCCATAGCTAAAGCCAACCCAATAATTAAGGCAGATAAGCTTGATAAAATTTAGGCATGTACTACTCCGAAAGGTTAATGTGTGAAGCTTAAGGCTTCATCTTCTATTAGTAAGCCCTCATATATATTGTTTGCCTGGTTGTTTAGGTGTCCTTTAGTGATTAAAATGGTCCAAGTCATAATAGTGAGGACATCTTTTGGGAAAAACATTCCTTGTTGATTGGCAAGATCCACGTTAGCTCCAGTGTGTTTGTGCTGGTTTGATGGACACTAGCTCATTTTGTAATTTGATTTCCTGCTTGGTCTGCATTTTTTTCTTCCTCATCGCAGGAAACTGCGTAGTTTTGTATATGCTTTTGAATTGTCTTAGTAATGTTTACCTTTTAATTTTCAAAACATGTGCAGTAAGTTCGAATCGATTGGTGGGACTTTGTTATTGATTTAATAATTGTCAGGTTATTGTTGTTATTGGTTGGAACAATCAGAATGAATACAGGTTTGTGCAAAAAAATTTATGCGAGATTGCATGGATACAAAGACCTGGGGTAAATCTAACCATGCGAAAATATGTGACTTCTGCTGTGAGTAAAGTACTCTTAGTTTGTTTATGATTCAGTAAGTGAGAAATGGCCATTCAAGATTACCTCGTTGCTTTCATAGTCTGCGTGAGAAATGTATATTTATGATTCAGTAAGTGATCTTAGTTTGTTTCAATCTTGAATGACCATTTGAATAGTTCTATTCTATTTCATGAAACATCTTTCACTTTATCCGAATATCCATTGCGTATTACCTATACATGACTATGTTGATCCACGTTTTAACTGTTCCTTCTTTATTGGCGATGGATGTTCTTTTTATTAGTCTGAACCATTGTTTTCAACTTTTTGTGACATAAGTTTTCGATTTAAATTCTATCTAGTAAGAGTAAATATATTGATTTTGGATGTTTTATGTTTAGGCCTAAATAATGGCTTCGTTTGATTAGAAATTTATTTACTTTAATGTTATTGGTTTGTTTTGTGGAGTTGAAAGCTATTCGTGCTTGGGGAAAGCCATTGTTGCTTTTAAGGTTGCTGCATGTTTAATTTGGCAATTGTTCCTTACATTCATTGGTGAACAGACTTTTTAAGGATTTGTGTGACGACATAACTTTGATGCAGGATTATAATTTTGTTTTGTTGTTTTTAAAATTAAAATTGGAGTTTATTTTTGTAATACACACATTGAAGGTTGACATTAAAAAATCAATGTGTGATATTAAGATGAGATTCTAATTTTGGCTAAGAAACAATGTTAAAAATGGCTATGTGATTGCATTTAAATGTCTTTTGTGTTATTTAAGTTTTCTTATGGGTGGGTGGTGCATGATCCAAGCATAATATACTTTGGAAGTATGTTCGGTGTTAACCCAAGCGGATTTGTTTTGTAATCATTCTTGGTAGTTTGGCGAGTCTTTTTATTTACTCCCCCCTTCCTTTCCCCAATGATCTGTGCCATCGAAGTCTTTTGAGTTGGTAAATCACATAATTGACTGGGTTGAACAATATTAAGATAATTTATTTATAATAATCTGAGGTGGTGGTTCTTATGATTACACTTTTTACTTGTTGGAAGGAACCATAGATTATTTGGGCATAATTGAATCGGTTGAACAGTTTAGGAGAATATATTATAGTCCTTGATTAACATGGACTATAATATATCCTCACTTCCCAGTTAAAATGCATCCTAAGAAGTTTGGATGCAAGGACGGACCATATTGCATGTATTATAGTCCTTGATCTCTGAAATTTGGCCATGAAGGGGAAACGATTATTGGTAAAAGAACAATACCCTTAAGAAAAATCATACTTTATTTTACTGATCAAGTGGAAGAGAAGGCACTCAAATTAAATTATTATGACTAGATGCTCCTGCGTTCTTAAGTTTTGACTATCGTCCCTTGCTTTGCGGTTAATGTATAATGGTATAAGAAAACCAGTATTGAATCCAAGTTAGGTCGGTTATTTTATTGAACTTTCTGTCATTAACACACATCCCAGTATTTTTATTTTACTATAGGTGTTGATTTTTCAAGCCAGTTTGTAATATAATTTTAGTTAGTGACCATTTAGTTTTTAGGAAAGGCATTTATATACTTTTAAGATTGTTTTGTTTCAATTTACATAATTATTATACATTTTCTAAACACATCTTTTAATTAGTTAAAAAAAAAAACTAAAATGGATCCTGATTCTAGGCAAGGAACTTCAGATTGTTAAGTGGATTAGGTGATTCATGTTATGTTTTTGCTTTATCATTAGGCAAACACAGGATGTAAGAACGAAACATGATTTTGCCACAAAATAAATATAATTTAGCTATTTTATACCAAACGTGATTATGTCTTCAAAAGCAAAGTTCATTTTTTCGCTTCTAATTCTGCCTTGGGATGAGAAGACTTACTTTTGGAGTAGATCCTTAGATTGATCTTTATAGTTGTATGCATTAGGTGTTTCAGTTTTTGAAAAATTTCAACTTTTTTCATTAGCCCTTAATTTTATGAAATACAGTATAGGATGACAATAAAAAATAAATAAATAGAGTGAGATGAATGGCATTTCTATATAATTAGAAATTTGCAAAAATATTTTAAAATTTCAGAATCTAAAAGTATTTTTGACACAATTTGGAGCAATAATTTTGGGGGGTCTATTTCCTATTTTATTGATCAGAAGAATCCTAATCAAACGAACTGTTGGGCATAGGGTTATTGTGCTTGTTTGTGTTCTTGACTTGTCATTGAATTCATGCGACCCTCTATTAGTGAGTCTGGTTCGTGTACGAATGTGTACATTTAAAACACTTCGTCTACTGGACTTCTAAGGCTGCTAGTGTGAGTGGGCTTGTTTGTTTTGCTGGAAAAATAATTCTTGTATTTTTAATTAATAATACATATTTTAATAGAAAATACATTTTAAATTAATTTATGTATATACTTCAATTATATTCAAAGATTCAAAATAAATTGTGTCAAAATTAATTTTAAATTAAATAAGTGATCAACTCACATGAAGTGTGTTTTGAGTGAGCGAAATATACGCTTAAGTTTGAATAAAGTTTTGAGTGAGTATTTATAGACTTTGCTTAAAAGTAAATTTAAATAAATGCGATTTATGTTTAACAAATTTTCTTATTCTTAAACGTAAGTTTATGATAAATTTTGATATAATTTTTTTTACTTTACCGAAAAATGATTGTTTATACATATGATTTAAATATGAATTTAAAGCAAAATCAATTCTAGTTAAAAGTGACCAAATATCAAATTCTTTTTACAGAATCATGTTATAATGAAATACATTATTTTGTAATATTTTAATGTGCATTTAAACATACATTAAATTTATTTATTAAATGGGTTAAGTTAAGATTCTTTAGAAGTCAATAAAGCTTAATAAATCAACTTATCTAAATAAATATACATAGTATAATTTTATAGGTATTTTATTTTTCTATTATTATTATTGGTAATAGTAGTATCTTTATCATATTTTAATACTTATATATTTATTATATTTAAACAATTTAATTTATAAAATTAAGCATAAGTTTAAGTTTATTAACTTATTTAAAGATGGATTATGTATTTATTTAAAAGACTTGTTAATTGATTATGATAAATATTTTATTATAAAATAAATATTTAGATAATTAAGTAGTTCAAGCTAAAGATGGACCAAATCTTAAAAAATAGCTTATTTAAAGTAAGCTTTGGATTTTAAAAAATAAATAAGCTAAATGCCTTAAAAAACTAGTATACTTGAACTTATTATATAACTTGTTTAGATTGACGTCAAATTGGGGAGGGGGTCAGAAACTTATTAGGTTTCTAAAACAGGCACTTTGACTCTTAGATTGAATTGTGTTCATTAAACTCTAGTCTTAGTTTGCGCCCACCACTGACCTATGGCAAGGACCACTACTCCAACCTAAGTAAGCTCTTCCATCTTCTTGGTTGCCCCAATTTTAAAGTTGCTTTAGCTTTCAACCATTTCTTTGAGTTATCTTCTACTTGTGTCTCAATCTTGTTCTCCACCAATATTATTTCCTCTTTTTTAATCAAGAATGGGAAGAGGGAAGAGAGAAGGTTCTCCTTCACTTTTTCTCCTATAAGTAACTTCAATTTTAGAAGGATGAATTGATTTTCAAATATGCTATTTGCTTATAAAGTACCCAAAATCTGTAGAAAACCGTTACTCTTGTTAATTCATTAGCACATCATTTTACATGTTAAATCTTTTCACTCAAATCATTGTTCCACTTGTTTAGTGTCAAGTCCTAAATGAATTGGGAGCTGCAACAATTGAGATTTTTCCAGAATAGTGATTCATGGGCGTTACTATGCCTTTCGTGATAACTAAGGAATTAAATAATCCATCGAGTTGCTTCTTTGACTTGGCTCTTTCTTCTTATAAAGAGTGTTTAAAAAAATGCCAGCTATTAGAAATTGATTTATATGTGTTTACAAATTGTCCTAGCCTCCTTTGATCATTGGCCAAGAGTGAAAAAATAAATCTTCGGTAGTTGAAAAAATGCAATTACCAAAGAAGTTGAATAAATAAAGTTGCATCAATTGTATGAATTTGCGATGTTCCACAAACTTTTAGACAACTTTGAGGTGTAGTTATAACTTTTGTTAATTAATGTCTTAAAAAACTAATTAAAAATGCTCTTGTGGGTATTATACTTGTGATTTTAATTTTTTGTATTTATTTTTAAAAAATTCTTAATTGTTTAAATAAAGTCCCAAATTCTAAAATTGTACTTAATAATTAATTAAAAGAGGTATGATATTAATTCACTTAGAATGAAGTTATTTATTTGAAAGGATACCTTAGACAAATCCAAAAAATGAAAAATGAAGGGGAGAGTGGAAGAGGCTTACAAATGAGGGATGTATCAAAATCTATGACACTATCCATAACATTCATAAGACATGGGCAACAAAATGAAACGAGCGTCCCCACCTTATTGGTACTATTAGAGGCTAAGCTATAGAATGTGTATTATTAACTCTCATGCCTTTCTTCAATGCAATAAGTGAAATTTGATAACAAACTTGCCTTTCCCTCACAGCCACCATTTCGTGTCTGGTTTCTTTATCAAAAGACAAACTTCATCACCTGATTCCTTAGCTGTGATCTCAGATTTGGGGTCAAGGGAATATTGCAAACAAAGAGGGCAGCACAGACACCCATGTTCATTTTTGTTGTCTATTTCTCAAATTTTCAGGTCATGACCCACGTATAATGGAAACGTTCATTTCATTTATTTTTTTGGGCTTATCTCTGTTACTCTTACTATAGTAGTATGATACATTCAATCAATGAAATTAATTCATGTAATTCTTTTCTTTGGATTCTCAAATTTTGATGTTCATTAATTGATATTAGACAGTTCATAGTATGGGAATATGTTGTATACATTATTTAGATTTATGAAGTGTGATTACTAGCATTGTTCATTACTTCATTTACTATCCAATTGGGACCAAATTGAAGAGGCTACAAACATAGATCATAATTTTAATGTAAAAGTCGGA